CACGGAAATGGGCAAATGCTACAAAACAGGACTAACCACCCTGGGCCACCCAGAGAGCAGATTTTTACTTTTTTACCTTGTTGAGACAGGGTCTGACTCTGCTGCCCAGGCTAGAGAGCTGTGTGTTCACAGCTCACTGCAGCCTCAACCTCCTGGGCTCAAGCGATCCTCCCACCTCAGCCTTCCGGGTAGCTGGGAATACAGATGTGTACCACCACAGGCCTGGCTAATTTTTGTATTTTCTTTTTTTTTTTTTGTAGAGATGGGATCTTGGCATGTTGCCTAGGCTGGTCTTCTACTTGTGGGCTCGAGCAATTGGCCTGCCTCTGCCACCTGAAGTGCTGGATTACAGGTGTGAGCCACTGTGCCTGGCCAAGAGCCAATTTTGAAATGTTTGCCTCACTGTCTAAATCCATCCCCACCACACCTGTAACAATGTGTGTTTTGTTCTTGTTTTTGAGACAGAGTTTCACTCTTGTTGCCCAGGCTGGAGTACAATGGTGTGATCTCAGCTCACTGCACCCTCTGCCTCCCAAGTTCAAGCGATTCTCCTGCCTCAGCCTCCCAAGTAGCTGGGACTACAGGCATGCACCACCATGCCTGGCTAATTTCTGTATTTTTAGTAGAGACAGGGTTTCACCATGTTGGCCAGATTGGTCTCAAACTCCTGACCTCAGGCCTCCCAAAGTGCTGGGATTATACAGGCATGAGCCACTGCACCTGGCCTCTTTTTTTTGAGACAGAGTCTCGCCCTGCCGCCCAGGCTGGAGTGCAGTGGTGCCCTCTTGGCTCACTGCAACCTCTGCCTCCTGGGTTCAAGCAATTCTCCTGCCTCAGCCTCCTGAGTAGCTGGGACTACAGGCATCACCACCACACCCAGCTAATTTTTGTATTTTTAGTAGAGATGGGGTTTCACCGTGTTGGCCAGGCTGGTCTTGAACTCCTGACCAGAAGTCATCCACCCACCTCGCCCTCTCAAAGTGTTGAGATTTCAGGCGTGAGCCACCCTGCCTGGAAGATGTGTGTCTTGTTCTGATTAACATCCTCTCACGAGAGTACGACCCATGGGGAGGAGGGGCTCTTGTCACTACCACATCCTGAGCACCCAGCATAGACCTAGCATACAGCAGGTGCTCAACAAATGCTCATCCAATGAATGACAGCACGGAACACTCCTGGGCGCGCGGGCTTGCACACACACCTGTGCACACGCTCACAGCATCACGTGTCTGCAAGCACGCACACCCCCAAGCACAGGCCGGCATGCCTGGGAACTGTGGGGTGGGCCCAGGCCAGGGGGATGAGGAAGGGCAACGGGGATGCACAAACAGAGGGTCTCCTGCCCCTGAGCCCACAGTCCATCCTTCCCAGGGTCTCCGCAGGAGGAGCAGGGTTGGAGCCCAGGTGGGAATATTCCTCCTAGATCCCGTGTTAGGGGGACGGGGGCCATCAGAGCCTGTGGGACCAGTGGCTGTTTGTTTATTAGAGACAGGGTCAGTCAGGCGCGGTGGCTCACGCCTGTAATCCCAACACTTTGGGAGGCTCAGGCGGGCAGATCACCTTGAGGTCCGGAGTTCGAGACCAGCTCGGCCAACATGGCAAAACCCCATCTCTACTAAAAATACAAAAATTAGGCCGGGTGCAGTGGCTCACGCCTGTAATCCTAGCACTTTGGGAGGCTGAGGCGGGCGGATTGCCTGAGCTCAAGAGTTTGAAAGCATCCTGGGCAACACGGTGAGACCCCGTCTCTACTAAAATACAAAAAAGTAGCCAGGCATGGTGGTACGGACCTGTCAACCCAGCTACTGGGGAGGCTGAGGCAGGAGAATCACTTAAACCCGGGAGGCGGAGACTGCAGTGAGCTGAGATCCTGCCACTGCACTCCAGCCTGGGCGACAGAGTGAGACTCCATCGCAAAAAAAAAAAAAAAAAAAAAAAAAAATGTTGGCCAGGCTGGTCTCGAACTCCTGACCTCAGGTCATCTGCCTGCCTCAACCTCTCAAAGTGCTGAGATTACAGAAATGAACTAGCCACCTGGCTAAGGGACCATGCCAATTAATAGCAGACTTGGGGTTCTCAGCAGAGCCTGGTGCTCCCAGGTTAGGGGCAGGAACATAGCCCAGAGAGAGGTAGCAACTTGCCCAAAGGCACACAGCAATTCCTCTCTGTGGTTTAGGGCCTCCTGAGAAAGCACTGTGGGGTCATAACCAGGGTATCACAGCGCTGCTTTCTGACTGGCCCGGCTGACACCTCTCCTTACCCAGGGGCCAAAATGTCCAGAAAGAGGCATTTCTAGGCCACACAGGGTTGAGTGGAAGGGTGGGGCTGGGTCTAACAGGAGAGGAGGCATACTCACAGGAGGAGTGACCGAGGGTAGGGGAAGGACCAGGGAGGCCTGAGCCCCACCGCTGGCAGCAGCCATCAGAGTGAGGCCGGTTTGGGGATGACTCTCAGGTCCCGGTGCTCAGGCCACCCCTCGGGTCTGCACCCGGTATCCCATTTCCCTGGTGCAAACACCGAGGCTGGGCGCTCCAAGAGGTAATGGGGGAGCGAGGGGCGCACGGGAGGGCCCAGAGGAGGAGACCCTTTGACTACTGGTGATAAAGGCGTGCAGGAGTCACGGCACGGCACGGCCCGCGGGGAGCGCACGGGGGTGGGCCGGTGGGTGGCCCTGGCGCTACTCACATATTCGGCCGTGTCATCCGTCTCCCACTGAGCGCGGGAGGAGGCGGCAGGGGAGAGAGGAGGGAGGTGAGCGGGGGAGGCCAGAGGTGGAGAGAGAGAAGCAGAGGTGTGGGGGAGCGCGGGGAGCGCAGGGGCCGCCCGCCCCCGCCCGGAGCCCGCCCCCGGCCCCGCCCCCGCCCCGGCCCCCTGCCCACCTGGGCATCGGCCAGCATGACGTCCTTGATACGCGGCGGCCCGCGGGCCTCGGCGCCCTCCATGCGCACGTAGTGGACCTGGTAGCCGCGGATCTGGCCGTGCTGCCGGCCGGGCGCGGGCGAGCGCCACAGCACGCGGATGGCCGTGGCGTTGAGCGCCTCCGCCTCCACCTTCCGCGGCGGCGCGCTGGGCACTGGCGGGCGGGAGGGGAGGGGAGGGGCGGGCGGGGCCGTTACCAGGGCGCCCGGCCCTGCCCCGGGCAGCGCCACTGTCCGATTCCAGGATGCCGAGTGGCTGCAGGTGAACGTCTGGGCGCTCTCGGCGCTCACCGCTGGCTGGGAGGGCGTGGCCTCCTTCACACCCCCCACAGCCCCAGGAGGGGCCCCTGAGGGCGCGCCCCATGGACCCAGGCTGCCCCCCAGGGTCTAAACCACCTTCCCAGGGCCTCCAGACACCTTCTTCTTCGCCCTACACTGCTTCCATCCTCATCATCACCCTGCAAGATAGGGGCTCCCATCATTCTCATTTTACATTTGGGGAAACTGAGTCTCAGAGTTGATTCTGGGCTCACAGCCTTAGCAAGAGGCAAAGCCAGCATTTGCACCAGGCAGTCCGGCTGTATGCTCCTAAATACTCCAGCAGGCAGGTGGCCCACTTGGCACTGAGGATCTTTTTCACCCACCCCAGGGTTTGGGATACAGAGGAACTGCTTCATTCCTTTCCTGGGCTTAGGACATAATGGGCCTGTCCAATGAACCTTAGAGGCTAATGGCTCAGAAAACAAACCAGGTTCCCAGGACCAAGAAGCTGTGATTATTTTTGAGACAGGTTCTCTTACTCTGTCCCCTAGGCTGGAGAGCAGTGGCAGGATCACGGCTCACTGCAGCCTTGAACTCCTGGGCTTCAGCGATCCTCCCACCTCAGCCTTCCAAGTAGCTGCAACTATAGGCGTGCGCCATCATGCTCAGCTAACTGTTTTCTGTAGAGATGGGGTCTCACTGTCACTCAGGCTGGAGTGCAGGGGTATGATCGCAGCACACTGTAGCCTCCAACTGCTAGGCGCAGCAATGTTTTAGAAAATTTTTGGAAGAACAGGGTCTCACTATGTTGCCTAGGCTGGTCTCAAACTCCTAGGGTCATACGATCCTCCTGCCTCGGCCTCTCAGAGTGCTGGGTTTACAGGTGCGAGCCACCGTGCTTGGCCGAGAGGTTGCAGTTTTACTGGGAAAGGTGTCTTGTCATTTCTCTCCATGATTCGACCACGTGACTCCAAGCCAGGCCCAGTGCCTTGCTTTCCTGCTTCAAACTCGCTAACTTGAAATGGGCCAGGATGGGAACACCGGCACCACGGAAAGTGGCCCATGCTACAGCCTGGTCTCCATCCACCCGGGGCGCTGGATAACCACCATCGGCACAACTTGGCTGCAGGGGCTGTCTGCCGGTTTCCTCCACCCCACTTCCAACGCTTTCCACTGTTCCGCCAAAATAGAGGGCAGCCAGTGACACTGCCCAGGCACGAGGCTCTGGGAGCAGACGCCGCAGAGCTAAGCCTGCCCAGGTCTAGAATGGCCAATTCCAAGGTCAAGGAGCCCCGGGTTTCTTAGGGAGGCTGCTGGCTTCGCGGCTTCCTCCGAGTGAGGCTTGTGCCCTTTGGCCACCAGCCCGGGTTTCCAGATGGAAGGCTTCGAGGCGGGGGCCGGTGGGGGGTCCCAGGCCTGGGGCAGGTACTTACCATCCTCGTCGGTGCGGACGACCACGGGCGAGCTCTCGGGCCCTGGTCCCACCTCTGTGTGAGCGACAGTCGTAATGCGGTACTCGGTCCACTTCTCCAAGGCCTCCAGCAGGATCTGAGTGGTGGTCGGGGGGATGCCGTTCACCTCCTTGGGTTCCGGGTCCTCTGAGCCCAGCGGTCGGTAGCGGACGCTGTAGCCCACCAGGGCCCCGTTGTGCGTTTCTGGCGGCGGCGGGCGCCAACTTACCAAAATGGCCGTGGAGCGCACGCTGACACATTTAACGTCTTGAGGGGGGGCTGACGGTTCTATTGGAGGGGGGAGAATGTGGGGGGGGGGGGGGGGAAGGGGGGGGGGATGGGCGGGGAGGGGGGTGGGGAAACAAAAGATGGGAAAGAGAAAATAAAAAAGAAGATGATAACAAACAAAACAGAAGCAAACCAAAGAGAAGTCGAACCCAAAAGAAGCGGGTGTCAACCAAAGGTGTGATGTGCGGTGGACGGGCGGGCAGGTGGGATGGGGCCGGGAGGGCTGGCCAAGAACGCTGTGCTCACCAGGCTGCACCTGCATGGCGCGCAGTAGGTCTCAGGCACTAAACCGCTGCGGTCCCCATGCCAGAAACTGGACGGGGTAACAACAATAGAAGCCCTTTCTGTTAGGTACCTACTATGTGCTGGGCATGGTGCCAAGGGGAACAGCAACAGAAGCCCCTTTTGTTAGGCACCTATTATGTGCCGGCACCAAGGGCTTCACAAAATAAAGCATCAGTTTATGGAACACCTACTATGTGCCAGGCACCATGCCAAGGGAACGGCAACTGAAGCTCCATTTATTAGGTACCTACTATGTGCCAGCACCAAAGGCTTCACAAAATAGTAAAGCATCTACTTATTGAGTATCTACTGTGTGCCAGGCACCATGCCAAGGGGAACAGCAATAGATGCTCCATTTATTAGGCACCTACTATGTGCCACACACTGTGCTAATGGGAAAAGCAACAGAAACTCCACTTACTAGGCACCTGTTATGTGCCAGCACCAAGGGCTTCACAACATGATAGTAAAGCATCTATTTATTGAACACCTACTATGTGCCAGGCACCATGCCAAGGGGAACGGCAACTGAGGCTCTAATTATTAGGCACCTACTATGTGTCAAGCATTGTGCTAAAGGCTTCACAGAATGATAGCAAAATAATCTACATTTCAAACACCTACTATGTGCCAGGCACCATGCCAAGGAGAATGGCAACACAGCTCTATTAGGTACTTACTATGTGGCAGCACAAGGGCTTCACAAAATAACAGTAAAAGCATCTATTTAACACCTACTATGTGCCAAGGGGAGCAGCAACAGAAGCTCCATTAGGTACCTACTATGTGCCAGGCACCATGCCCAGGGGAACGGCAATAGAAGCTCCATTTATTAGGCACCTACTACGTGCCAGGCACCATGCCAAGGGGAATGGCAACTGAGGCTCCATTTATTAGGCAACTACTATGTGCCAGCACTAAGAGCTTCACAAAATAGTAACATCATCTATTTATTGAACACCTATTATGTGCCAAGCACCATTGTAAGGGGAACGGCAACAGAAGCTCCATTAGGTACCTACTATGTGCTAGTCATCATGCCACGGGGAACGGCAACTGAAGCTCCAATTATTAGGCACCCACTATGTGCCAGGCACCACGCCAAGGGGAATGGCAACTGATGCTCCATTTATTAAGCACCTACTATGTGCCAGGCATCATGCCAAGATGAACAGCAACAGAAGCTCCATTAAGCACCTACTATGTGTCAGGCACCATGCCAAGGGGAATGGCAACTGAGGCTTCATTTACTAGGCACCTACTATGTGCCAGTCACCATGCCCAGGGGAACGGCAACAGAGCTGTTAGGTACCTACTATGTGCCAGCACAAGGGCTTCACAAAATAACAGTAAAAGCATCTATTTAACACCTGCTACGTGCCACGGGGAGCAGCAACAGAAGCTCCAATTATTAGGTACCTGCTATGTGCCAGGAACCATGCCAAGGGGAACGGCAACAGCAGCTCCAATTATTAGGCCCCTACTGTGTGTCAAGCATTCTGCCAAGGGCTTCATAGGATGATAGCAAAATAATCTATGCTGAACACCTACTATGTGCCAGGCACCATGCCAAGGGAAACAGCAACAGAAGCTCTATTAGGTACCTACTATGTGCCAGCACCAAGCGCTTCACAAAATAGAAGTATCTATTGAACACCTACTATGTGCCAAAGGAGCAGCCCCAGCAGCTCAATTTATTAAGCACCTGCTATGTGCTAGGCACCATGCCAAGGAGAACAGCAACAGACGCTCCAATAATTAAGGACCTACTATGTGCCAGGAACCATGCTAAGGGGAACAGCAACAGAAGCTCCAATTATTAGGCACCTACTGTGTGTCAAGCATTTTGCTAAGGGCTTCCTAAAATGATAGCAAAATAATCTATGCCGAACACCTATGTGCCAGGCACTGTGCCAAGGGGAAAAGCAACAGCAGCTCTATTAGGCACCTACTATGTGCCAGCACCAAGGGCTTCACAAAATAATAGTAAAAGCGTTTATTTACTAAACACCTACCACGTGGCGGGCATCATGCCAAGGGGAACAGCAACAGAAGCTCCATTTATTAAGCACCAACTAGGTACTGGCACCAAAGGCTTCACAAAATAATAGAGTATCTATTTATTGAATACCTACTATGTGCCAGGGATCATGCTAAGGGGGAACAGCAATAGATGCTCCACTTATCAGGCACCTACTATGTGTCAAGCATTGTGCCAAGGGCTTCATAGAACAGCCAAAGAATCTCGGCCGGGCGCGGTGGCTCACGCCTGTAACCCCAGCACTTTGGGAGGCCGTGGTGGGCGGATCAAGAGGTCGGGAGTTCAAGACCAGCCCAGCCAACATGGTGAAACCCTGTCTCTACTAAAGATACAAAAAATCAGCTGGGCATGGTGGTGGGTGCCTATAATCCCAGTTACTCGGGAGACTGAGGCAGGAGAATCACTTGAACCTGGGAGGCAGAGGTTGCAGGGAGCCGAGATCGCACCACTGCACTCCAGCCTGGATGGCAGGGCAAGACTCCGTCTCAAAAAAAACAAACAAACAAACAAAAAAAACAAACTGTATGTCACACACTATGTGCCCAGGTGCGGTGCTGCTAATTACTGCACACCTACCACGTGCCAGGCATCATGCCCAGGGCTTCATACAGTAACAGCAAATACACTTATTAACTGACCATCCACTGTGGATCAGGCATGGCACCAAGGGATTCATAATAATTTTTAGAAAATATAGTCAAAAATTTTTTTAAAGTAAAATCATTTATTTACTGAACACTTGTGCTACCAGGGACCCAAAGCCCACCCCAAAGGCTTAGTTCAACTAGGACCATCTAATTGGCCTCATATGAAAATAATGCCCTGTCTCGAGCACCTACTATGTGCCAGACAGATGTCAAGGTCCTTGTCAAGTAATAATAAAAGTGCCTGTTTACTGGACACCTCAGGACTTCATAGCTCATACTGAGCACCTACGGTGTGCCAAAACTCCTGTGGTTCTGACTATGCACCTGGCACCACACCAAACCCATTACTAAGCCCATCAACAGCAAGTCTCATTTATTGAGCATCTACTGTAGATTGGGTATGATAATAGCTCTCTAAAGGGAAAAACAGCAGTTGTCATTTAAGCAACACCTACTGTGTGCCAGGCACTGTGCTAAAGGCTCTCTCAGAAAACAGTAACAGTCCCTGCATATTATGCCCCTACTGTGTACCAGGCACTGTGCGGAGAGCTTTATCAGAAAACAGTTAACAGTCTCTGCATATTAAGCTCCTACTGTGTGCCAGGCACTGTGCTAAGGGCTTTATCAGAAAATAGTTAATAGTCTCTGCATATTAAGCTCCTACTGTGCGCCAGACACTGTGATAAAGGCTTCTTCAGAAAACAGTAGTAGTCACCACATATTAAGCACCTACTGTGTGTCAGGTACTGTGCTAGGGGATTATTGAAAATGTTTCCACATATTAAGCACCTACTATGTGTTAGGCAACTCTACCAAGAGCCTTATAGAATATCAACAGTTTTCATTTCTTAAGTACCTACTGTGTGCCAAGCACTGTGCTAAGGGCTTTTTTGGATAACTGTAATAGTGCCTGGCATATTAATCACCTGCTATGTGCCACGCATGACACTACAGACCTTATATAACAATGGTAACGGTGCTTACTCACTGAACACCTACTATGTGCACACACCGTGCCAAGGCCTTTGCAGACAGTAACTGCATGTTTTCGTAAAAACTGTAACCAGCTCTATCCCACATCCTTCCAAACCGATAATCACGCCCATCTGAGCACCAACTATGTGCCTCACACTGGGCATCCTTTTACAGCAAGTGCCACTTACTGAGCACTTACCGTATGCCAAGCATTGTGCCAAGGTTTGCAGAACTGGACCTCTTGGTACCCATGTTCTGAGTAGCTAACATGCACATGGCACCAGATGAAGCTTGTTATAAACTACTATTAGCTTCCATTTACTGAGTGCCAACGAGGTGCCCAGCACTGTGCCAATCCACATGCAGATTTAAAACAGCGGCTGCATCAGCGGGACACCTACTGTGTGCCAGGCAGTATGCTAAGGTCTTTGCTAAATTAATAGTGAAGTTCCCGCATTTAAAGGGAACTGTCTGTGTGTTAAAGGCTTATGAATCAGTCTCCGTGTGTTCCGTGCCTGGTACCGCCAGATGCTGTGCTGAGGGCATTAGTCACAGCACACTTCACGTTCTGCCCACCTCCTGCAGGTGCGGCACCCTGAGCTCACCTTGCATATGCTGTCGCATTTGATGCATCTGTTTATCACCTCATTTAATGCATACATTATCCCATTTAATTCTCACAATCCCTCGGGTGGTCAGAATGGTGACTCCCCACCGGCCAACCCAAGTCACCGGTGGGGAAACCAGATTCAAAGTCTGCCTGTTGGGTCTTCTGCGGTCACCCCACCCTGGAAGCTTTTCTTTATTCCATATGTCACCTCTCCATCCTGCCGAAAACCCGGAAGTGCAGCCCATCTTACAGGTGAGGAAACTGAAGCTCAGAAACAGCAGGCTACCTGCCCAGGGCCATGCAGTAATGAGGTGGCAGAGCCAAGAATGGAACCCAGACTTGGCTGTGGTTCACAGGCTGGCTTGGTTTGACGTTGGGAGCTCAGTTCTCAGCCTGGTGCCGGCTGGGGATGGCTGGAGCCACACTCCCCTAAATGCCCACAACTTTAGAATCTACATCCCCTGGAGGGAGGCCCAGATAAATGAATGGCCTCGCTCGTGGCAAAAGCATCTGAAACCCTCACCATCCCATCAGCTCGCTTGGTGGCTGAGCAGATGTTTACTGAGTACTATGGGTACGCCCTCCTGCTAGCATCTGGAAACCAGAGATGAATCAGAGTCCCCTGTCCTCAAGGACACGGGGCTGCCAGGGACTGCAGAGACCACCCCAACAGGTCACGTCAGCTAGAAAGCCCCTCTGGCCTCACTTAACGCAAAACACTGGGGCCCCTCCTCCAAAACCAGACACAGCGGACCCTTCCCTATTTCTTGACCAGCCACCCCAACCAAAGGTGCCCAGGGGGGAATCAGGCAGGGAGCACGGAAAAAAACACCACCACCAACCAAGGAATGTGTCGGAAGGAATGGATTTGCTGAGAAAGGGAGAGAAAAAAACAAAACCAAAACCATAATAAAATAAGAAACAACAGTGATGGTGATGATGATGAGAAAAACCATGATAAAAGAAAGAAAGACTCCTTCCAGAAAACGCCCAATCTGGTTACCTACCTTCCGCTCTTCAACTGCTAACTTACAAGACTTTCTTACGAGAGAGGGAACGGCCGAGCGCTGAGCTACAAGGCCAGACCGAACTCTTGGTGGGTCTCGGATGCCAGCGGCCCCGCGGTCCTGCTCCAGCCCCCAGCGTGCGCACGCTGAGGTTCCAGGCTGGAGGCAGGAAGGTGGCATGGTGTCTGGGGAGACCCACGGCTGAGTGGTCTGACCTGCACCTACCCTTGTGTTCAGCCTAAGGAGCCCGCAGCCCCCGGGGGGGATGGATACGCCTGGCCCTGAGTCTTTGCTGCTGGTTGTCCTGGGCCCCACCCGTCTCGGGGCGAGAAGCGGGGAGTCCCTTTTCCCCCACTCCCTGTCCTGGGCCGCCCCGGAGGTTCCCGTGGCTGGGCCGAAGCCGCTTTCGAGGTGACCACGAAGGTCGTGTCCTTCACAATCCGGCCCAACCTGCGTGATGTCTTGGGAAGGGACGTGTGCAGAGACGTGGACGTCTGCGCGTGAGCAGCATAGCATGGTGGTGGCATGTGGTTTGGGAGTTTCAGGGGCCGAATTGGGGCTGTGGACTCTGTGCAGCCCAGAGCAGCTGGGGCAGGCAGGGGGCACACGGGGTGGGCCGTTTTTGTGAACCTGCTTGAGACCAGCGTGTACTCACCTTCAGGACACCTCAGCCGGTCTCTCACGTGGCTGCCCAAGCCACGGGCCACCCTCACTGACTCCACCTCACACAGACGCGCCCAGATGCCTTGGAGCTGCCGGGGACTCAGCTCAGCTCGGTTTGGGGGGAGCAGGAAGGAGGGAAAGGGGCCGACGGGGGCAGAGGTTTGTGTCTTGGAGGCCCCTATCCCCAATCTCAGCGGCTCAGATGCCCCGGCCCGAGTTGACGTTACCCTCGACTGACCCGAGACGCCCCTGTGTGCACACGCCCCGGGGAGGGGGCCTTGAAGGTCTGACCATCGTGACTGATTCCAAAAGAAAGCCTGAGGTGGCTACGTCGTGACTGACTGGGTTGGGGGAGGTAGGCGGGGGAAACAGAGGGAGGCCACGGCAGGGAGACCACGCCGGTGGAGGCCACGGCAGTGGAGGCCATGCTGGGCTGAGCAGAGCCAGGGAGGTGGGTGAGACAGGAAGACAGCAGAAGGGGCCCAGCCAGTCCCTGAGCTTGGAGAAGTCAGGGAGGGAGGGTGGCGGTGACCCACAGCCAGCTGCCAGGTGAAGGGTGACTCACTGGAAACAGGGAGGCCGGGCAGGCACAGCAGAGAACTCCTGAGACCAGAGCCCCGAGTGGGGGCCTGCATGCCCCGACGAAACGCAGCATCAGCTCCAATTCCACCCCCTCCCCACCCTTGGGAGCTGGGACCTTATCCTGGGGTCTCGAGAGCCGAGGCTCCCTGCCCGGGGAAGGAAGGCCCTCGGGGAAAGTGGGTTTGTCTCTGCGTCCTTTGCTCTCTCTGCGAATGATGGGGTGTGAGCTGTGACCCCTTGCAATGCCTGGGAAAAGGGCGCCACGTGGCTCTTCAACCCGTCCCCACTCCAGGATGGGAAGAGGACGAAGAAGCGAGGTCCCAGAACCTCTTCCACACCAGGGGCAACATCAGCCACTTCTGTTTGACCCCGCATCTCCACCCAGGTCACCAGGCCCAGGGGCACAGAGAACCCTGTGCTGAGACCCTCGCTGTGCTGATGGGGAAACTGAGGCACAGCGCGGGCAGATGGATCGAGGTCGGGGAGCAAAGCGGAGACAGGCCCGGAGGCGCCCCCCCCACCCGCTGCGGCAGGCCCCGCCTGGGTCCGTCCACCGAGGGACTGTCGGCAGCCAGGCCGTGGTCCCCCCCGCAGAGAAGGGCGGCCCCACGAGACACCTACTGGACTGCAGCGTGCGCTGCCGCACCACCGGGGTGAAGGCGCCCAGGCCCTGTGGGGAGCGGGCCGCCAGGCGGAAGGCGTACTCCGTGTTGGGCTTCAGGTCCTCCACCACGTAGGAAGTCGTGGGGTCGAAGGTCCTTCCCACCTGGGGCGAGGCAGAGAGGGACAGAGAGGGATGGGGGGAGA